GGTTGATGTGGTGCATGTCAATTAAATAGTCGAAAATTTATATCTATTTTCAGCCACAAATTCTTATGAGAATAATTTGAGTAGGAATGCTATTTTATTTATTTGGTATGCCAATACTTGGTCATCTCAGTAGGCATAAGTTCAAAGAAATGATAAAAAGCTCCAACCGATAAATATGAAAAATCATATTTTAAAAAATTGTTTCTAGGTGTAAATATTCTTTGCAATTGGTGCATAGTGCCTTTAAGCGATAAACAGAAATTTTATTATATTCTTATCTATCTTGTACATATGGTGTATTTCGTTAAACTCAAACCCAAAGTAGTTTTTTTTAGATTCTTAGAGTAATGATGTAAATGAATTAATTAATTTAAATACAAATATGAAACAATTAATATTTGTTTCGATGTTCGTAAATGTTTGATTTGAAGAAGCTATGAATTGCATTTCTTATGGCCATTACCGCTTTTCCCTAACACTACAAGAAAATATCATTTTTGTAACGAGATTTTTTCGTCTTTAAATTCACTTTTTTCGTTACTAATGATATTAGAGACGGAATTAATGATGGAATTACGTTAGCTACGTGATCTTTAGTAATAGAATTCCGTTATAAATATACTATTTTTTTTGTAGTGTAAACTTTTAGTGCCAATCATCATATTTGAATTATTTGGATAATTACTTAGTTACATTTTATGTACTAATATAATATGGAGAAAAATTGAACTTCAGAAAATATTTATTAATAGAGCAAAATAAACGCTATAAAACATTTATTGATAGAGCAAAGAAAGAGTTCACTATCGCAGGTTTGATAGATATTCCTTAGTATTACTTAATTACAAACAAAGTCCAATTACCTTATAAAGCAAATCAAACCCTATAATAGTCTAATCTTTCTTAATTTCTTCAAAGCTTTGTGTCAATGTTTTCGTCCACTGTCTTGAAGTTCTCAGGAGGAACTACTGGTACATGACATAAAGCCTTGCATTCTTTATCGCATAGATTTGATATACCTCCGTTACACCTAGACATGCAGTCATTATAACATTTCAAATCTGAACGTTCTACCAGAACAAACATTACAACCAATGCATTAACTCTTTTAATTTTCTTCTTTCTTTGTTCTTGAAAAATATTGATGAGTAGAAGATATGTGATCAAAGATTTTTGGAGAGATTTTAAAAATATCTTTTAAGATACAAAAAAAATGATATATGTATAAAATGAAAATAGTTTCATGCCTGTACATGTAGTAACTCCAAAAACTTCGTCGAAAATAAAAAATCTCTTTAACTGGTGAGTGTCCGGGTCAAACTCAGGGAATATGCGAATATCCTATATTTAATTAGAAAAAAAGTGCAATGAATTAATGCAATCGAAGAACTTAAAAGATAAATTGCAGAAAATAAATCTAACTAAAAAACAATAAAATATACGTATCTCGAAAAGGATGAAGCGAGGCGTTTGTGTTTGACTTTTGCGTTCCTTAATGGCTAGATTCCATGGATGAAATGAGTGGGATGACGATGGCGTGATAGCAAAAAATATATGTATAATTGCGGAGCGGCTCGGAGGAATGAATGTGATCACATTTTCTCGCTTAATCCGATTCTCGACTCGGTTGGTACTCGACCTTAGGGGATTTACAACGAGGCTTCAGCGATACCCGTCGAAGAACATTATAAGCAAGAAACTCTACTGTCACTAGAAATTTCTGTGACCCAATAGACCACCGCCTATGCCCCATGAATTATTTTTCTAACCGTTCCGCTAGTGGCTCTACCCCTTTGATACCTCTCTTTAATCGGAATCGAATTCAGAACAACAACTAAACAGGTCGAAAAGGCTCCCGCGTACTTATGCACACAATCTTCTGACATTTATTAAATTTGTTATGTATGGACAACGAATCACTTACCACTAACCAAAGATTAATTTTTCTATCCACAATTATTGCATCATGATAGTTTATATATTTTTTTTCGATACATATTTGACATGTATATATTAAATATTTGAATAGTTTTTTTATTTATTTTAAATATTTTTGTCAAAATTTAAATTGCGCAAAGGGAAAAAAAAATAATACAAGCACAAAACAGAAGAAAAGACATTGTTTGGTCATGTCCATGGCTAAGAGGAATGCATTCAATTTAGAGTTTATAAAAAAAATTTTGGGTTCCTAAATTTTGGATGTATTTTCAATTAAAAAATTTAAAAGTTTTAAATGTAGAAGTTTTCAATCGATATTTTTAACACTCTTAAAATCTAGCGGTGATCCAAAATTTTGAAAGTCTTTTAAAATATTTAACTATTCAACAATTGATAGGCTATAAAACTCCGTGGCTTTTATTGAATTCTCATAAAATCATAATCAAATTATAGTATAGAAAATATCTCATAATTAGTTGATATGTCATCAGATTCTCATAACTTGAAAAGTATATATTGTTGATACATTTTAAGATATTACAAAAAATGTTTATTAATACTATTATATTTTTTCTATAAAAAATAATAATTTTAATTATAAATATAAAATTCAAAAGATAGATAAATAGACACATCCCATTGCATTGACCGGAGGCCTTCATAGTGTATGTGACACCCCGGCCTGCAAGCTACGCAAAGCCGGGCGTGTCGGGATGTCGTAGACTGGTCCCACTTGGTCAACACGAGTCATTTCAACGCACTTCTGTCTCAGACTCGCGCACCTTGGGAGACTTCCTAGGGTCACTCATCCTCAAATTACTCTAGAGCAAGCACGCAACTCTAGAGTTCTTTCAGTAAGGCTTCCGAAAAGGAATGTGCACATTGTTAACGTGGATCCATTTAATCTCTAATAAACTCTGGATGATCTGGCATCGGCTCATCCACGGGAGTTGGCCTAGCATTGACCAAACTCCGGGGGTATTACAGTATATTTATAAAATATTACCTTTTATCATAATAAATCTAAATTATGACTTTCTTCCTCTTTGATTAATCTTTTTTCTCTTTTCTTTTTCACACAAAAATGATAGGTTTTTCAAACAATTAAAAAAAAATTAACAAATATTCCGATGGAAATGAACTAGGGATTTGTATTTCATTTCATTAAAAAATAATATTGAACTACTTGTTCAAATCGAAAATCGATGGTCCACAGTTATACCCACCGAATTCGTTCGAACTGAAGATTTCGGGACCGAAACCAAACATTCTAAGCCATGATTTCAGTTTGTATTTTCCGGTTTAAAGTTCACTTATGACGGATCCGATTTTAAAATTGCCAATTCTAGTTTAATCTTTTGGTTTATATTTATTCACTTTTTTAATTTTTCTTTTTATTTTCTAATTTTTATTGTAAATTATCTTATTTTTGTTAAATAATTTGAATAAATTTTATATACAGGTGTGCTTCATACATATTTGCAACAAAAGATTATTTTGAAAATCTTATAAATAAACAAAAATAATTATTCTATAAAAATAATTTTGTATATTAACAAATACACAATTTAATGAAATTCAAGTAAATAAATAAATAATCCAATTCTATAACAATTGGCCTTAATTGAAGGAAAATCTGAAAACTGCTCAGATTAGTAAATGTTGAACTATGATTAACACACTAATAAACCTTTCATCTATCATCTTTTACAAACTTCTCAGCAATGCATTTTTCAAAGATGCTCGTCATTTTACCGCATTAACAACACTAGCAAACTACCTTTCTAATCAAGAGTAAGATACTTTTGGTATTGAATCTTCATCCATTTTGATATCCCTTTGTCTTTCTAAATGAGACTTCTAAATACCATAGAAGCTTTGTGACTTCATTATTGTGGAGAGGATGAAGTACAAATATCAAATCACGTGAATAAAACTCTTCTGTTGTATTGTGCTTAGCAAGGTTCTTTTTGTCACATGATAGGTGCAGCAGTAGGTCAACTTGCACCCTATAAACATGACAGCGTAATTACAAAGTTGCCTATGTTGTTTTGTAAGAGTGACAACAGGTTTAACACATTTGTTGATATGCTAAAATTTTGTTCGGAGGGGTTGTTTCTTACAAATCTCATAATAGTGCATCTAAACCACAAAATGCTAAGAGGATCCTCAAGTGTCGTAAATTTGGAATTGTGGAATGTATTAGATGTTGGGACTGAGCTAACTTAATATTAGTATAATATTGTTTACTTTAAGCTGAAACCACATGCATTTTCTTCTTTTAATTTTTCAATGTGAGACATAGGTTTGCATCTCAACCCATGGCCTTCTTTCCTGAGATATTCCATTGATATGCCTATCTTGCACCACCTATGGGAAAGGGAGCAACCGTCTGACCACAACTGTTGAGTCAAATTGTCGAATCTAACACCACAATCCACTACCAAAAAAAGGTCTTTTTGTAACGGTCAAATATTCGTAACTAAAACTCATTTTTCGTGCAAAATAGCTTTTTTGTGTCGATTTTGTTACGGCTTTTGACCGCTACAAAAAATCGCAGTACAAAAAGTCCGTGTTGCAACAAAATCTGTAACAAATATTTGGTGGTCAACTCTCAAAATAAGCACGTGTTAATTATATTTGTTACGTTTTTTGGTATGTAACAAAAACATCAATCATGTTTTTGAATCGAAAAATATCCGACACAAATAATGCGAAACAAAAGTTGAATAATGTCAGAGAAATATTTGTTACGACATATGTCCGAATCAACAAATGCGTTACAAATGTCTAATCTTGTCGGAAAACTTCTTATTACAATATTTGTCCGTAACAATAATACATTACAAAAGGACTGCCCCCTAACATATAAGTTGTTTGTTACAAAATTAGTCCGCAACAAAAAGTCATGACAAAAGCCAGGCAACCACACATTACCATTTGTACCGGCCATTGTCCGTAACTAAAAATACGCTACCAAGGACGTCCCTGTGTGGCATAGTACTTTTGTCGCCATAAATAAATTTCATTTATCTGTATTATTAATCTGTGAGACAAATAATTTAAAACTTAATCTTATTATAATTGTTTCCAAATCCATGGTAATACTACACATGGTCATCAATACAACGATGTTCATAATCCAGTCAAAAATAAAATATTAGTCGTCAACGGTGCTAACAAAACATCCCAAGAAAACACTAATCCGTACACCAACATAACAACCTACTAAATAACGATACGCAAAACCAAAAGGTAATACGTACATAGATAAATCTGATATCATACGTAAGTAAGATCTTAAGGGCAACTCATAAATACAACTATGGATGACCCAGCTCGTCGAGTGCAGAATCATGGAATATGCAATCACGGGCGACGAACCAACTGCAATGTGTTTTTAATAATACATAAGCATTTAATATAAAATTGGAGTATGCAATCACGGGCAACGAACCAACTGCAATGTGTTTTTAATAATATATAAGCATTTAATGTAAAAATTGAAGTAATTTAATTTCCAAAGGAATAAAGTAAACAAAAAAAAATGCGTACATTCTGGTAAATCTACTCGATATTATCTCCATCGAATACATCACCAAGAATTTTCGCTCCAGCATTAGTTGGAAGGATAAGTGCGGTCTCCGGGACTATTACAGCTATAACATACACCTTAACAATGGCTAGGGTATCACCTGTATAAATAGGTTAAATGAGCGCTAGTTACGAGGAAGGTCTGCCTCTGTAAACATTATGGATGAATATAATAAAATAAAACTTACGGTTTAGCTTGACCAAGGGACTCTATCTTAAATACAAGTATAGTAACAAATAAACTCGAAAAGCACTAATAAAATAGGCTGACCCTGAATATGCTACTCTGCAACACATTAATCAAAATGAATGATAAAAAAATGCTTCACTTGCTACAACAATGTTGTATCTCAAAAAGCATCAGTGCAGTTTGATATCTTCATTTGGCTTCACACATAGTCAAACAAATGGAGAATCTCGATTTTTATATAATACCATCAAACAGATCCTCTAGATTCTCAACCTCATTCAGAGCTAAAAGCTACTAAGAAATTCATCATCAGCAATAGAAATAATCTTCAGGTTGTTCGTAAGGATAAATTATCCGAGCAAAGGAATAATGATTTGAAAATGATAAAATCACGAAAAACGCTTCCATAAGTGTGGACATGACTCCCACCTTCTATTCAGTGCTGATGATAATCTCTGATTCATTAGAACTTCACAATGAAGTGCAAACCTACTAGTAAATAACAATTATAATAAACATCGACTAAAATTGAATCCAAGCTTAATTAACAAGTTCTACACCTAAACAACTAAATAAACACAAAACTAAATTAGATTTACAACCATACCAATCTAAGTTAATTAAAGGAGTAGTCCATCTTAGCCAAGGAAATCCAAGAAACAGAACAACACAAATTATCCTACTGCAACAACAAGGTTAAGGAACTAGACAGAAATTAAACAACCTAAACCAATCTAATCTAACCTACAACAATCAAGACATGTACAAACAAACAATCAAGAAGCAAACTTATATATTATCAACATTCAAAGCCAAGAAAAACTTCCTTGATTGCAGATTTTTTTGTGGTGCTGAATTTTGGAGGGGGCTGAGGGGAGGGGCTGATCTACTAAATCCTCATACTTGCATATTTTTTTGCCTTTGAACAATTGCGGTTGACACTGAGGATGAGCTACAATTAAAAGAGAGGAAAAAAAAAATCAGCCATATAACAGAGAAAAAGAAAATCAGCACATGGGTAGAGCTAAAGCGAATTCCAACATCAACCAATATATAGTTCAAGGCATATCAAAAAAATGAATTTAGCAAGCATTGCAAATTTTCAGCCGCTTTAACTCAGATGCATCTCCTATCACATTAATGTTATCTAAACCGAAATTCAAGATACAAAGAAAATATACAACGTAGACAAAAAAAAATATTACATTGATGTACCTTTGAAAATAATGGTAAAACATCTAAGGCAGTTTTATCAAGATTCGTCTCTTTCTGGAATTATCAAGGGCCAAGACTCCATTAGTAACTTTCTTTTGCTTAAAGCAGAAGTGTCAAGAGTACTTTATCAGTGTGAATCATGGGGGACATAGAAAGTCTTTTCCCCATTATTTATATTCAACACTCACTAGTTTCTTTTGGGAACTTCCGAAGAGCCTGAGACAAGTCAAAAAAAACTTGTTCATTGCTCATCAACTCATCGTCCAATTAACTTTCACCAAGGATTAATGCAACCATTATTGTATATCAACAAAAAATTTAAAACTAAACTGATAAGATGAACAATTGTGCCAGAGCATGTTATCCAATTCAACTCTATTTAGCTAATGACGGTAGAAACTAAAGCATACTCAAGTACAGAAAATCCTAACATAATTACAAATGCATTCTAACAACTAACAATAGCAACTTAACTATTTAAAACATCAGATCGTTCATAAGAGCAATTCTCCGAGGTGTAGTACAATTTTGTTGGCATTTATGGTTTCAATGTCTTTAAGTGGCTATAAAAGATTCGCCTGCAATAATCTAGTCCCGCAGTGATTTATTAATATAAGATACATTATTTGAAAAAACATGGTATCATATTATAATATTAGCAAGGATAAATACTTCCATTTAGAGGTAGTGAAGACTTCAAGGTGAGGCATGGTGAGATCGGCACAACTCCAATGAATCTTTTATTCCATACATTTACATACACAAATCAATCGCAGAAAATTATAATGCAAGTATATGTTACTTACGGGACCAACTACATTTCTGCAGTGTTTAATATTATTCTCCTAGAAGTGACTCAAATGTTAATGCTTAGATTGTCATACACAATCCTCATCTCAGAGTTTTCTCCACAAATATCCCACATCACACACCCATATAAGTGTGATTGGATCTTGGAATTCAGCTCAACTAATAGAATTTTTTCAATTTTCAATTTTAACCTATAACATATTTTTTGCACAAAATCAGAATAACCCAAAGTAGCAACACAACATATAATTAAATAATTTTCAAAACAAGAGATTTGTAACTAGATATCAACAAAGAATTTGTTGCTACTCCAAGGAAGCAGAACACAAAAGGAAACAAAATCAAGAACATGGTAAGAACAACTTATCCTTCTTTCTTTCGCCGGAAAGCTCCTATCGGTGACAATGGTGTCTTCGGTTTTCATCTCCGACATTAATCGGCGACCATGAACGGAACAGGCGGACAACGGCTGCTCTAGAGAAGAAGAAAAATGAAACAAAGAAAAGAAGTAAATGAAGAAAGAAAGGAAATGAGGAAGAAGAGGCGAAAGAAGAAAACAAAGAAGAGGAGCAGGAAGAAGGAGAAACAAGAAAAAATGGAAATGAAGAAGAAAAAGTAAGAGGAAGAAGAAGGCGAGCGGCGGCTAGGGTTTGATGTTTATATCAGGTTTGGTTTATTTTATTTTTATCTTTAATTTAAATTATTATATATTAATAGAAAAATAATCAATAATTACAAGAAATTGAAGATATTTTAATTATTTCTATGAATTAATTTATAATTAGCAATGAAAATATAAAGTATAATAAATTAATTAGTTTCAATTATAAAATTAAATTTTTTAGTTAAATAATAAATTTGAAATAATTGGATATAATTATTTTTTTATAATTATAATATTAAAGTTTTTGTTACCGATTAAATTTGCAAAAAACATATATATATTACAACATCTTATCTTATATGTAATTGCTACTGATATATTATCGAAATAAATATTTTTTTAAATTTTAAAATAATTTTATATTGATTTTTTTTTTAATTAAATAGAAAATTTTAATATTAACTTATTTGTTACGGCTTGAAATACATAACAAATAGGTATATGATAACATCTCGTCCAAAATGTGTAATTGTTACGAATAAATTACCGAAAAAAGTAAGTTTTTTTTTAAAATTTTAAAATAATTCCATATAGATTTTATATATATACAAAAATTTTCAACATTTAGATATTTGTTACGGTTTGAATTGCGTAACAAATTTATATAGGACGACATCCCGTCGAAAATGTATTTATTACAGATAAATTATCGAAATAAATAGAAAAAAAAGGTTGACCAACCATTAAACTTTTTATTCTGATAAATTTTGTAACAAAAGGCACTTTTTGTAGCAGACTTATTTTGACGGACAAAATACTCGCTACAAAAAGTCAAATTTTTAGTAGTGATCCCAACCAATGTCCTATGCCATTTAGTCCACTCTACCAACTAACTCGTTTGAACTGGACTCCAACACCAAACTGATATTATCCACTTTGGGTTGATTCAGTACATATTTGTTTTTGGATTGACTCTAAAATTCTTCATACTAGTATAATTATACGTAGGACTTATTAGGGGAGGGTTCTTCTTGTAATTTTCAAGTGAGACTTAGGTTCGTATCCAAATATTAAAAATAATTGACAAGGGATGTTTAAGGCTGGAAATGTGATTAAGTGCAAACAAAAAGATGACAATCACCAAGAGGAGGATTGGGTTAATGTTTTCTAGCTGAAAGGACTCTCTTTGTGTATAAGCAAATCACTTATGTTGATTTTGACAAGAATGGATCGTGAAATTCAAGCACCAGCTATCACGTGAATTTATTCAAATTATTCAAGCATTAAAGGTTGATGTGGTGCATGTCAATAAAATGATCGAATGTTTATATCTATTTTCAGCCTCAAATTGTTATGTAAATAAGTTGAGTATCTATTATAATTATTTGGCTTGCCAATACTTCGTCATTTGAACAAGAATAAGTTCAAGGTAATGTTGAAAAGCACCAACAGATAAATATGGAAAATAACATTTTACAAAATTGTTTCTAGGTGTAATATCCTTTGCAATTGGTGCATGGTGACTTTAAGCGATGATATATTCTTATATTTCTTATACATATGTGTTTCAATGATGATTTTTTTAGATTCACTTGGCTGTATTTCGTTAAACACAAACCAAAAGTGATTTTTAGATTCTTAGAGTCGGGATGTAAATGAATGAAATAATTTTGCTCTTTTTGAAATCAAACACATATATTTGATTTGATACACAGATGAATTAAATTAAATAAAAATATGAAATTGTTAATATTTGATTCGATGTTTGAAATATTTGATTTCATAAGAAAAAAATATATAAGTATTATAAAATATAGTAACATATATATCTTCGAAATTAAATAAATCAAACTAAATTTACATATAAGATGACTTTTAAAATATTTTATAGATAAATTTATAATATAATTAAAACTGCAACTACACAGTTGTATTTTTAGTATGTTTTATTTTAAGTTGTCTTAATACTATTATTTTTAAAAATCTTATTCACAAAAGTTTGAATTGAATGGCTTATAATGAATTTTGAATCAGTGAATTATGTTATAATTGTATATCAAAATTAAAATTTTGAATTGAACACTCAAATTGAATTGAATAATTTCAAAACTATTTCAAAGCAATTACGAACATTGAAGATTCAAAACAAATAAAATAGTCGAATAATTTAACAAATCAAATCAAATCAAATATTGTAGTACTACCCACTTTTATTTTGTTCCTATACAACTCTCTATAGAGACATTAGTTGATGAAGAGCTTGGAAAAATTATAAAACGACTTCAAACAGACGAGGGAGGAGAGTTTACTTCTCATAAATTCTTTTCTTTTTTTTTTGACCAAAGCATGGAAAAAAGAGATATCTTTTTTTAGCAAACATGACTCGCATGAATGAAAAATTAACACCTCACTGAAAATTTTAAGATTTATAATTGCATGTGAAAATCTGCAAACAAACTCTGTGACGAAGGTATGAATTGCATTGCTTATGGTCATTTACAGCTTTTACCTAAAGTTTTAGTGTTGTTGTGTAATTTCTCATGTCCCACATCAGACGTAGATAAAAAGTTAGGGGTATTGGCTCCTATAAATTGACCCCTTTGGGTCCTATTTTAGGATATGACAACAAACTTTTTTTCTTTAGTAACTAGAGATAGTGAAATTGAAATTTGGTGAGTTGTTGTTAGGAGGATTTTACAATTTTGTCCGTGCAAAAATTTTAATAAATATTTTAGTGGATTATCCCATTTTGGGATCATGGATGTAGGTCTATTGTGAGACCGAACCACGTTAAATTCTCGTGTCTTGTTATTTTTTTTTTCTCTCTCTTCCCTTGTGTATTCCCAACAAGTGGTATCAGACCAAAGTCTTTCTTGAGCGAGATCTTGGCAAAGGGGGGAGAGAAGGAGCGAGAGGTGTTTCAAGCGAAGTTGACGGCACGCCAGCAGTCAGGTTGCAGTTCCGCAGCGGGTTCCGGCAACGCACCAGATTTCTGCCAGAAAGGTCGGTTCTGCCTAATTTGAGTTCCTGGCTTTAATTTTTAGCCTCAGTTTATTTGGTTGTTGGAAATGCTTATTTATTGTAGAGTTATTAAGCACTATGTCAACTACTTTGAAATATGAGGTTCCGCTCTTTGATGGAAAGAGTGATTTTACTATGTGGCAAAGCACAATTCAAGATTATTTGGTGCAACAAGGTCTTAATGTTGCCTTAGATGCAAAGCCTGAAGGTACGAAAGAAGGCGATTGGAGTATGATTCGGAAAAAGGCTGTTAGCACAATTCGATTGGCGCTCACCCCGCAGATAAAGGTTACCGTGTTGACGGAAACATTGCCGAAGAGGTTGTGGGATATCTTGGAGAGTAAATTTGCCATGAAGACATTGACTAACCGCCTAATTATGAAGATGGATCTATACTCTTTGAAGATGGAGGAAAGAGGAAATATAATTGACCATACTAACGAATTTAATGAGCTAGTATGTTGACTGTTGAATGCATGAGAGGAAATTAAAGAGGAAGAGCAAACATTGCTCTTGTTAGCTTCATTGCCCAAATCCTACAAGTCGTTGGTGCAATCAATGTTAGTTGGAAAAACTACATTGAAATTGAATGAGACGATAATGGTTTTGAAGAAGAATGACAAGATAATGGGAAATGAAGGCGCTTCAAAGGAGGGTCAACTACTAGCTGTGGGGAGTTTTGAAAGAGGGAGGAAAATGAAGAGTGACCGTGGTGGAAGATCGAAATCTCGGCTGAGAAATTACAGCTCTGTTGAGTGTCATTATTGTGGAGAGCTTGGTCACATTCAAAATTATTGTCCACTTTTTAAAGAAGACTTGAGAAGCTTGAAAAATTTGAAGGGTAAGTCGAAAGTTGAGAACTCTGAGAACATGGTCAATTATGAAGGTGATTTACTTCTTTTAAATACAAATTCTGTTGAAAATTCTAATTGGGTGATGGATTCTGCTTTCGATGTCCATATATGTAAATATCAAGGTTTATTTGATACTTTGCATACAAAGGGAGATTTTGGCTATATTAATGTGGGAAATAAGATGAAGCAGCGAATTGAAGACATTGGAAGAGTTCGCTTGAAGCTCTACAATGGTAATGTCAAAACAATTTTTAATGTGAGGTATGTGCTTATTGTTGGACCTAATGTTATTTCATTGGGCGAGTTGGCTTCACATGGACATAGATATGTTAGGCACTAAAAATCTATGCAAAGTGTACAAGGGTGACAACTTGATTATGCAAGAGAAGAAGAAACAAAATAACATCTATTATCTAGATGGATGCTCCTTGCGAGCAAATGTAGAGAGTAGCAATGATAATCAAAAAATCGAGAAGAAAGTTTGTTTTTCTGACATGGTCAAAATATGTGAGACTATGGGGGAAGAGGGAGGATTTTTTGTGTAACTTCCCATGTCCCACATCGGAGGTAGATAAAAGGTAGGGGCATTGGCTCCTATAAATTGACCCATTTGGGTCCTATTTTAGGATATGACAACAAACCTTTTTCTTTAGTAACTAGAGAGAGTGAAATTGAGATTTGGTGAGTTCTTGTGAGGAGGATTTTACAATTTTGTCCGTGCAAAAATTGTAATAGATATTTTAGTGGATTATCCCATTTTGGGATCATGGATGTAGGTCTGTTGTGAGACCGAACCACGTTAAATTCTCGTGTCTTATTATTTTATTTCAGATAATTATTTAGTAATATTTATGTACTAATATAGGGAAAATTGCTAAAAAACCCTCATGTATACCTCATTATCACTTTTGTCATCTATTTATGTTGTTGGCAAAATATATCCCACATGTTTGTAAAAGTTGTTATTTCTATCATTTGGCCGCGCGTAATTGCGCGTGATCGTACATGATGTGAACGTAACGCGCAGCGAAAGGATAAAAATAACGACTTTTGCAAACATGTAGGATATATTTTTCCAGAGAGATAAATACGAGATAAAAGTGATAATTGGGAATACATAGGTGATATTTTTTGCAATTTTTTCTATTAATATAAT